GGAGAGTCTCTGCTCGGAGCCTGAGTCCTTGAGCCGGTCTCCCGAGGAGGCCCGGCGGTGGCCGCGCAGGGAGGACAGCCCGTTCATGAGCCAATTCCCTCCGGAGGAGATGATGGGTACCTCCAGGGATGTGCTGCCCACCTTCGGGCTCCCGGATCGGGACCCCGACTGCCGGAAGGAGGACCTCCAGTTGGGCAGAGTCTGCACCTTCTTCCCAGGGCTGGTGGCAGCAGGGCCGCGTCGGCTCCCCAGGCCCGTGGGAGAGGTTCTGGAGAGCGCCGCCACAGCCGCCCCGTCCAGAGAAGAGGTCCTGTGCGAGGGCAGGCCGGGGGCGCCGGGGCTGCCGGGATCTGGCTGGCTGTCCCTGGTGACCTCCTCTGAGCCCCATCCCACGGTGCAAGGGGGGCCCCCGCGTGGGGAGGCTGGCCCTTCTGTGGTCCTCGAGGTGAAGAGCTGGCTGTGTTTGCGGATCAGGATGGTCATCAGGTGCTGGACCAGGGAAGTGCCTGCCAGGAAGAAGCAGGGAGAGAGGCCTGGCTGTGAATGTGAGGGCCTCCAGCCCGGGCTCTCCAGAACCTCTCCCAGGGGTCAGGGGAAGCTGCAGCTCGGACCCAGGGTGCCCAGCCCTGCTTGTAGCCCCAGACCAGGTTGCCCTTTAAGTGAGGACTCCATGAGAGCTTGCCATCTGCTGACCTGAAGGAAAGGACAGACACCACACCCTCCAAGTCCAGGCACGGACAGAAAGACCGTGCCCAAGATCCCCTTCCTCCGACGTGGGGCCAGGAGCACAGAGAGGCACTTCGCGCCCACCCCAACCAGCTGGTGTGGGGAGGAGAGGCAAGATGCCCGAGAGGGCTGTGGGGTAAGCCAGTGCAGGCTGGGGCTGGAAATCACGACCTGGATGGCAGAGCCCTCCCGGCTGCCCCATGTCACCGCCCTGGGCGGCCCACAATGGCTATGCCTGACTGTCCATACCCTGGAGGGCACGGGACACTGAAACAGGGAATAGAGATGTCCTACAGGTGCATGTGGGCACACACACACAACCCTACATACACACAACACACACACACACAATCCCCCCCACAGTCATAACACACACACAATCTCCTACAGTCATACACACACACAACAATCCCTTACACAGCCACATACACACACAATTCCATGCACATACATACAAATCCACACAGCCACCCCCTAACAGTCCCCCCACGCAAACAGTCACACACCCATACACACAACCCCTCTTCTCCAGGCCACGGCCCCTGACGTGCAGCCTGTGGCATCTTTGGGGACTCAGTTCCTGAGGCGGTGCGGTGGGGGAGGGGTCAGCGACAAAGGGAGGCAGTGCAGAGGGTCCAGGGTATTGATCCACCTGCCTCCTCGCCTCCGCTCATCCTCAACCAAAGATCACAGCCTGGGTGGTGGGGGGCAGCTTCGACATGATGAGGAAGGTGAAATGCTTGGACGTAACTGAGAATCGTGGGGAAAATTAAGTAAAGAATCTTTAGTCCAGAAGAGCAAGTGAAGCAGGAACTCAGCAAAGTCAGCAGAGTGAGCGTTTGCCCTCAGGCATCCGTGCAACGTGGCAGGTGGGAGGGAGCTCTGGGGCCTGGGGCGGGTGCTGGGCATGAGTGCCACCGAGGGCCACACCCTCAGCTGGGGGAGGGGAGCAGAGCAGCCCCAGAGCCACCCCACACCCTCCACAACCCCCGCCCAGGTCACACTCAGTGAGGAGTGGCACCGGGGCTGGGTCCTGCCTGAGCCCTGGCCAGCCTCCGCGCCCCTTAGCTGGGACTGGCTGTGGGTTTCCCGTCTGTGAGCGGCAAGACTCTCACAAACCCCGTGGGGACCGTCTTCCGTGGGGTCTCCAAGCAGGGCTCTCATTTCCATGCCAGCCTGCACCTGTGCCCTTTGAAAACTCTGGCTGACAAGTCACCTCGCCCCTCCTGGCCTGGCTCATCTGTAAAATGGGGGCAGTAACCACACCTCGGGCTGCTTGCAAGGTTCAAACAAGGTGATGGAAGTAAAGCCCTCGGTGGAGGCTCTGGCATATTGAAAGCAGCTGCTATGGCTGCTAGTTTTTATCTTTTTATTCCTTTTCATTATTGAACAGAAGATCCCCAGGGTTTGCAAAGCTCTGACGTCCAGAATAAGCCTACGACAACTACTTACTTGAAATTACTTTAGTAAAGAAAAAACACCTGTGTGTATTCAAGGGCAAGGACGCCGACCTTTTCTATACCCTGCTGCCCCCCCCCCGCCATTCTAATTGTACCCTACGACCCAGTGATTTGCCTTCTACAGCTGACCCCACGAGGGAGGAGGAGCCGGGAGAGGAACGAGGCGGTCCGGAGAGGCTCCTGTCAAGTCCCCAGGGATGGCGCCACCGGTCCTGCTGGCCTGGCATGAGGGTTCTGAGGACCTGCCCAGGACCAAGGTGAGCCCAGAGCACCGAGCACCACCAAGCCCACCCCGCCCGTTACCTTCCATGATGGTCACCGGGTCTTCTATCTGTGGCCGAAGTATATTAGGTCCAAAAACGGTTGCCAGGTTCTGGACACTCATCTTGTTGACATCTGAGTGGGACTGAACTTCATCCAGAAACCTTCAAAGTTAGGAAGAGACAGCTGGCAGAGAGGCAAGTCCTGATGCCAGATCTCCTGGGAGCTGCCGGGCCCCCACGCTCAGCTGCACCCACGTGTTTCCACAGCTGCCGGGCACAGCCAGCTGCTGCTGCCAGGCTTGGAAGGCCCAGAGCTTCCCCTGGCGTCTGAGCGGGCCATCAGAAGCAAAGGCCACTGGGACAAGGGCCCGTCGTTGGCATGGAGGGACACAACTCTCCCACTGCAGTGGGGACGGATGCCTAGGAAGATCCAACCCCCTCCCCGAGACAAGGGGCTGGCGGGAGACCACCCTGGAGGTCCTCTCCCAGCACCTGAGCCCAGGTTGTGGTCAGGAGGCAGACTCAGAGGAGGCAGAAGGAACAGGCTATGTCCCCTTCCTCCAGGAAAGATGCACTCAGGACTGTGACACCGCCTGCTCCCAAGGGGCCTGTGAGCCTCAGGAGTGTGGGGTGTGTCCTTTTATATTTCCTGTTGGCTTGACACTCAGGGAGAAGTGCGGGTGAGAGCAGAGCCAGGCCCCCCAACCCCCATGGAGGGCACGGAGCCGGAGCACGGCGGACGGGAGCCCCCACCCCGGTCACTTACTTGCAGATGTATCTGAGCAGGTTGTAGTTGACCAGGGGAAGGCTGCTCACTTGTTTAGCCAATTCCAGAGTCCCCTTGAGAAAAAGAGTATTTCAAAGACCAGCAGTGTGGCCCCAGCCCTTCTCTTACTGGAGGGAGGGGTGTGTGAGGGGGAGTTGGGAATCGGAGTCCAGGCCTCCATCCATCCTCAGCCCATGCGGCCGGGCCCCAGTTGACCAGGGGGTGCCGCCACTCCCGTCTCCCTTCGAGGAGCAGTCAGGCCAGGCTCTTGGGGGCCGAAGCAGATTTATTTTCCAGAAGCTGTTTTGAGGGATGTGCCTCTGCAGGGCCACAGAGGAATGCCGGGGCCAGCGCTCAGCTCACTTATCGAGGCACAAATATTTGCCAGATAAAGACCCCTCATCTCCCACACGGCCACAGGGAGGGCAAACAGTCCTTCCGCAGCTGGAGCAGACCCGGGCTGCAGGCGGGCGCTGCAGGGTGGGGGTGGGGGCCCTGTCCTGGGGGCAGTCTCAAATTCTTTTGGGAGGAGGCAGGATAGAAACAGATGAAAGGTCTGGTTGTTTCTGAACCCCACGGCCAGCCGTCCTGGGTAGCCTGGGTTGGGTGTGGGAGCAGGTGATGGAGCAGGAGTGCCTGCTGGGTGGTGGCCCAGGCTGGGTACTCCGCATTCAGGGGCATGGCTGGAGCACGGCCTGCTTCAGGAGGTACCTGTCTCTCAGAGAGACAAGAGGCCTGCAAGCAGGGAGGGGACACTCCGGGCCAGAGTTCCCTCCCACACAGACGGATGGTGTAGCCCTCCCCGGACTAGAGGGGGTCCAGGCCTGTCTCCGCCAAAGAGCAAGCCACTCCCAGGACTGCACCCTGCACCCCAGACACACACAGAGCAGGCTGCAGGCCAGGATCTGTGCCCGGAAACATCACGAAAAGTCCTGACTCCACATCTCCCTACTAACTGGCAGGCCCCCCTCAGCCCCCACAAGATGGGTCCCCATGAGCCACTAACCTCCCCCTCGTCCTTGGTGAGCAGCTGGGCGCAGCTGAGGAAGTCCTCGTACCTGGCGAAGGGGACCACGGGCTCAGGGAGCTCCCGCAGGTAGAGCTTCAGCAGGGAGGCCACCGTGTGCACGTCTGTGGTGCTGCAGGCGGGGGGCCATGTGTGAGGCCGGAGCACCAGGGAACCGCAGGAGTGACCAGCACCTCGCACCACTCGCCTCAGGGGCAGCCTCTGCTAGCACGTCCATGTGAGCACGTGTGTGAGCACACACACATGTGCACTGTGACAGCTGGCTAGGGAACCGGTGGGAGTGAAGGGCCCCCTTCCACTGGCCTGATGCCCACCCCAACCCCTACTGCCTTCTCCCAGACACCTCTTCTGCCTACACCCTCACCTCCTGGGTGCTTATGGCCCAGTAGGTGCCCAGCCTTGAGCCCAGTACCCCCTCCCTGACCCAGGGCGTTCACGAGTTCACTGCCAGCCACTCTGTGAGCCAGAGCCCAGGAGGACCAAGGGGGTGGCGGGGCAGGACAGGAGGCAAGGAGGATCAGCGGTCTTGCCTTTGGACAAGGGCCAGCCATTCTATCTCCCCCGGGGCAGAGAAGTGGGGGTACATTTCTGATCTGGGCCAAGTAGGCACAGAGTGGCTTCCACTCTG